CGGCAGCCGAAACCCTCCTCGGACGAGGGCTACTGGGACTGCAGCGTGTGCACCTTCCGGAATAGCGCCGAGGCCTTCAAGTGCATGATGTGCGATGTGAGGAAGGGCACCTCCACTCGGTGAGTGTCCGGACACCCTGACCCGGCGCGCAGCAGCCCCGGGGTGCCAGGGAGCCGGCTGCTGCAGTAGGAACTAGGTCAGGTTTATGGGGGATCCCGTCGCCCGTGGGCTGTAGGGACAGGGACCAGAAATGCTGCAGCGTTTGCTCCCAGACTCATTTAACCCTTTGGCTCTAGCAGCTAAGAGGCATTTTCCTTTTATAAAATTAACAGAATACGTGTCCAGACACTAGCAGATTCAGACACTAGCTGAAATCCTCTCGAAGGGGAGAGAAGGTGAGTTCCCTTCATTGCAAGGAGCTCCTGGGGCTTAACTGGCATCTTATTGTGCTTGCATTAGGTTTTGTTTTCTATGTTAAAGTACAATAGCATATGCAAGGTAACACTTTTGAAATACAATGCCGATAGGGTTTATTAATCTAATTATGAAAATAATTTTGTGCAGCATAAAATGAGGTGTTTTTATAAATTAAAATGTGAAAATATGGTCTCTACAAAGTACAATGTGTTAATCTTCCATTTTTTCATGGTGGGTCATCAATATGCTATTTCATCTAAAGCATTTGCTTCTATTATCATTGATTTTTCTTTATGAAGTAGCTTAATTCAATTTCCTCAAAAATCCCAAACAAAAATCCCTAAATCTTATTTATTTCTATGTTTAATGTTAAAGAACTATACTGTTTTTTTCAATCCCACCTTAGAGATTTATTCTCTCTACAGAGGTGATTCCCTGCTACTACTTTTTCAAAGGGAATGTAAATTAGCTGAGTTTTTTTAATACAGTGAAGTCAGTCTGGAAATCACTGACATCTCAGAGTAAACCTTTTCCGTAGAACATCATAAACATCCTGAGAATCATTTGGATCCAACATGTTTGTATAGTTCTATTATTATGGGTTAGAACAGAGGTAATCAGTTATTTTTTGTTAGGGTTCACATTTCTTTGTCAAGGTCCAAACTACAGAGAAAATAATAATCAGTTTCCGCTCCCCAGTAAATAAGAAGATTTTTTGGCCTATTCAAAAGCATTTGGCCCACATCTACTTCTGGGTTAGAACACGCTCTAAAGGATGGATAATTTTATAAAACCAACAAGTGTGCAACTGTGGAGTCTTTTGCACATTAGCATAAGAAAATAACATGTGCTTTTATTTATTATTATTATTATTATTATTATTTATTTATTATATCTTGTCAATCCTGTTAGCAAAAGAGATATGCCACAGTCTTTTATTAAGAGTTATAAGAGCTTTATTACAAACATAAAACATAATAATACTGGATACGATTTTTGCAATGAATTTATTGTAAATTAATGTTCAAATAATTCAGGAATAGACTTGTCCTCTCTTTTGATGATGTATATTTGTAAAAAAGATTTTTAAAAATATTTTTTCAAAACTAACTTTAAATTTATTAGAGAGTTCGTAGAATGACTTGTCTTTATGATAGCAGTCAGGTTCATAACCTTTTGACATTTACTTATCATACTATGTTTTCCAGTACTAAAAATGAGGCTAGATTTCTACTTAACTTGGTTTTTCAGTTTTCAGAGAATTTAATAGAATTATACATCTTTATTGAAGCTAGGTGAGTGAGGTAATACCTTTTACTAGGTCCGCTTCTGTTGGTGAAAGAGACAAGGTTCCCAGATCTAAAGAAGAGCTCTAGGTAAGCATAAAACCTTGTCACCTTTCACCAGCAGAAGTTGGTCCTATCAAGATTATCTCACTCACCTCGTGTGTCTACTATCCTGGGACCAACTTGGGTGGGGTACAACAGTACTGCAGATATAGATCTTAATAGTTAGACGCATCCAGCAAAAAGCTACCATTCTGTATGGGTGAAAGCAGATTTCCCCAAGTTCAATACAAGTGAAGGCAACAGCTTTCTTTAGCTTTTATTAAGGACTTGGAGCAAGTTAAAATAGTGTTTTATTACACTAAAACAATCATTTCAGGGAAAAAGTACAAGTGGCATTGGCTAGAGGGATAATTAGGGTACACCGGTGGTATAATTGTTTTATTCTGCAGTATTTTAAAAAGAAACACAAAATATTTTGTTTTTCCTTGTTCAGTGATGTTCTTCTCCTATGCAGGGTTTCTGTAGATTCATGGATTTTTGTTTTCCCACTTACAATCTAAATCAAATCCATAACTGATTAGGTGTTTGGATTTCTTGCCATAAGACTTAGAGCAGTGATGGTAATCTAGGCTTTTGAGTGGGCTGTATGATTGGCCCTTATTCATCTCAGTGGACCACAAGACTATCGTAACCAAGAAAGTCTCCTGAGTTAGGATAGTTTTGTTAAATGTACTTGCGGACATAGAATGTGTGTGGTGTGCCAATTGCGCTGTAGCAGAGCTTTGACTGGATGAGAGGGAGTATACAGCTCTCCTAGTCAGTATTGTTTGCAATCAGCATGCCCCTCACTTCACGAGTTTTTGTTTTATGTGTGTGTCACTTTAGTAATATCGGTAGGGAAAATTATGCAGATGGAAACCAGCAGAATCTGGCAATCCTATGCACAGGCTGTAGTAAACACAATGTCTTCTGGACTGCACATAGAACATCAGTGGGCTGTGGATTGCCCACTACTGACTTAGTTTTATTTTCAAAACCAGCCTTTTAAATTGCGTTCACAGTACCATGTGTGCAAAGTCCTGGATTTATACATGCCAGGCTTACAAACCTGTGGCGAGTAGATTTCAGCCGGTCGCTCTGTGTGCCCCATTCACTGGTGCTTTGCATATGCACAGTGCCGGTCTGGCGCATGTGCGGTGCAGGGCTGGCGAGTAGCTCTCGCCAGGGTTTGTCAAGCCCTGATTATATTTATGCACACAAATTAAGCCTTAATTCTGCATTTGTGTTTTTGCTGGCCAATACCTATAGAATATTATAACTTAAAGGGACCTAGAGAGATCATCAAGTCCAGATCCCTGCCCTCATAGCAAGACCAAGCAAAGTCTATATCATCCCTGATAGATGTCTGTCTAACCTGCTCTTAAAGATCTCCAGTGATGGAGATTCTGCAACGACCCTAGGCAATTTATTCCAGTGTTTAACCACCCTGACAATTAGGAATTTTTTCCAAATGTCCAACCTAAACCTCCGTTGCTACAATGTAAGTTAATTGCTTCTTGTCCTGTCATGAGAGACTAAGGAGAACAAATTTCCCCTCCTCTCTTCTCTTTGTGACACCCTTTTAGATACCTGAAAACCACTATCATGTCCCCTCTCAGTCTTCTCTTTTCCTACTAAACAAGCCCAATTTCTTCAGCCTTCTCTCATAGATTGTGTTTCCTAGACCTTTAATAATTTGTGTTGCTCTTCTCTGGAGCTTCTCCAATTTCTCCACATCTTTCTTGTAATGTGGTGCCCAGAACTGGTCACAGTACTCCAATTGAGGCCTAATCAGTGCAGAGTAGAGCGGAAGAATGACTTATGCCTCCCAGAATCATGTTAAGTTTTTTTTGCAACAGTGTCACATTGTTGACTCCTATTTAGCTTGTTGTCCACTATGAGCTTTAGGTCCCTTTCTGCAGTACTCCTTCCAAGATAGTCATGACCCATTCTGTATGTGTGAAACTAATTGTTCCTTTCTAAGAGTACTATGTGTGAAACTGATTGTTCCTTTCTAAGAGTAGTTCACATTTGTTCTTATTAAACGTCATCGTGTTTACCTCAGACCATTTATCAAGTTTGTCCAGATCATTTTGCATTATGACCCTATCCTCCAAAGCAGTTGCAGCCTCTCCCTTCTTGGTATCGTCTGCAAACTTAATAAGTGTACTCTCTATACAATCATCTAAATCATTGATGAAGATATTGAACAGAATTGGTCCCAAAACAGACCCCTGGGGAATCCCAGTTGTTATGCCCTTTGAGCATGACTGTGAACCATTAATAACTTCTCTGAGAATGGTTATCCAGCCAGTAATGCATCCACCTTATAGTAGCCTCATCTAATTTGTATTTGCCTAGTTTATTGATAAGAAGGTCATACTAGACTGTATCAAATGCCTTACTATAATCTAGATTTACCACGTCCACCGCTTCTCCTTTATCCACAGGACTTGTTATCCTATCAAAGAAAACTATCAGATTGGTTTAACATTATTTGTTCTTTACAAATCTATGCTGGCTGTTACCTGTCACCTTATTTTCTTCCAGTTGTTTGCAGATGAATTCTTTAATTACCTGCCCCGTTATCTTTCCTGGCACAGAACTGGCTGGTCTGTAGTTTTCTGGGTTGTTCTTATTTCCCTTTTTATAGATAGGCACTATATTTGCCCTTTTCCAGTCTTCTGGAATCTCTCCCGATTTCCATGATATTTCAAAGATGATAGCTAAAGTTAGATACATCCTCTATCAGCTCCTTGAGTATTCTTTGCCCATGAAGAACTTCATTGGAGTCCATTTATGGATCTACTTACAGGAGCCTTAGAGACTAGAGTTAGGACCTTTTGGAAAAGGGTCTTAGGTAGTTGTTAAAAATAATCAGAGGGAGGACTGATCTTTCCCAAAATAACACTTTTGTTAGAGATCTAGTGGATGAATTCTCTAGCCTTTTGCTTCAGTGTATAATTTTTTATAAGTAAAATTGATAGCTTCATTATAGTTCCAGATAGGTATTTGTTCACATCTCAAAAACACTCTCTTTTTTTTTTCAGTTGATTGATATGACTACCTCCTAAGCCATGTAGACTAATGTTGAGGTGCCTTGATATTTCAGTGCAGAGAAATTTTCTGCTTGGTACCTGACATTTTTAGAGTGTGTGTGTGGCTTTTTTGCATTTTGTGAATGCTAAATTTCACTAAACTCACCCAGAATTGCAGACAAAAAATTGCAGTGACAGATAGTGAATGTTGTATTTTTGAAAGCCGTTAGAGACCAGCTGAAAACAAGATACATATTGAACCTCACTTGTCCTGCACCCTGATTGGTGCCAAATGAGAATTTGCTGAAACAAGCGAAGTCAATATTGTCCAGCAGC